TCCAGCTGTTTAATGGTGTCCTCCAGGCCAAGTAGCTCCTCTCGGATTTCCTGGGTCTGTGTGGGGCTCAGGGGGCTGCCCCCTGGAACTCCATCCCCTTCAGGGGGAGGCCCTGCCCCGCTGTCTTCCTCTGAGGGGAGCAGGAGCTGCTTCAGGGACAACACTAGTCAGGGACAAGGGGACAGAGTCAGAGGTGGGGCTGGGGCTGAGATGGGGGGTTCAGAGGGGAACGGAAGGGGCACAGGCTGGGAGTGAGGGTGGACGTCAGGCCAGGCTGAGCTTGTGGTTAGCCAGGCCTGCAGATAGAGCTGGGGATGCAAAAGGGAGTGCAGAGGCGAGGCTAGGGCTGGGGCAGGGTGGGAGGGCACCACGCTGGAGAGGGGTCCAGGGAGACTGAACTGACGGTCAAGGAAGGGATGGGAGCTGCAGAAGAGGGGGTGGGGCTGTGCGCGGTCGCGGGCGCACTGTTTGTGGTGGCTGGGCATGAGGCACAATGGAAAACACCAGTCTGGGCTGGCCACAGCCCTGCAAGGGGTGGGGTGGGCTACCTTTCTGAAGGGCTTTGGCAGCGAGCTGGCCCTCAGGGCCTGGCCTGCAGAAGGGCAGGAGGGTGCTGAGGGTTCTCTCGATCCGGCCTGGGTGGGGAGCAGGATGGGTGGTGAGATTCTGCCTGGTCTCCTGTGGTTTCCCCCGCCCCCACTCGAGGCCCTCCAGGCTCACCATCAGCCAGGGGCATCTCTCGGTTGCCACCGTTGCCATTTTCAGAGCTGCTGAGCAGGGGTTCACGGGTGCTGGGGGAGGAAGTGCTGGGTGACCCCCACACCCCTGACCCTGGGGGGGTAGCAGGGGCAGGGAGAGAGATAGCTGGAGGTGGGGCAGTCCAGAGACAGAGACAGAGGTCAAGGCTGGGAGACAGGGAAACAGAAGCCCAGCCAGTGGAAGACACAGAGGCCTGAGTAGGAGACAGGTGGGCCACGGTGGGGGGCACACACATAGGCATGCACACTGGCATGACGTGGACCAGGGCTAGAGCTTGAGTTCTGGGGACACACAGGAAGCCAGGCCCAGCCTCCCAGCCTTCCAGTTCCCTCCCTGGCCCCCCTCACCTGCTGGGGCTAGGCCGGGGTTTGGGGCGGGAGGCAGGAGCGGGGACCTTCAGGGATCCTGCGGTCTCAGTGATAAGGGCACACCAGCTGGGAAGACAGGCCAGCCCCTGGTCAGTCAGAGCCCCCAGATCTTGTGCCAGGGCCTCCCACCCTCACCCTATCCCCAGGGACCCAGGGATCTGGCCTGTTTGTGGAACTCAAGCCCCCTTACTTCTTCCGCTCTGACACGGTCTGCGCCACCAGCTCGTATATCTGGGCCTCCTGGTCCCAGGTAAAAATGACATAGAAAGCTTTGTGATCTGCAAGGGGAGGGAGAGGCGGGGCTCAGAGCCAGGGTGGCCCTCAGGATGGTGGAGCTCTCAGGACTCCCTGACTCAATTCCCCATCCTGTGTCACTAATATCCTGCCCCAGGTGCCCCCTACTAGCCTTCCCTCTCAATGCTCCCGCATCAAACCAGGCAACCCAACTCCAACACCATGGCCCTGGGGCAGCTTCTCGGTAACAAATCCCTTGTCACTGGGCTCCTGGCTCCCACCCCTGCATCCCTATAATCCCCAAGGGGCAGCCAGGTGTCTTAAAATTAGCAGGCAGACCTGGCTGCTCCTCTGTGCAAAACCCTGGGGCAGTTTCCCATCTCACTTAATAAAATCCACACACAGCCTGGGCCTGCCCAGTTCTCAGGCGTCCCTCCCACAGCCCTGGCCTCGGGACTGCCAAGTCTCCCACTTCTCAACCTCTGCTGTGGCCTCCCCTTTGCCAGAATGTGAGTTCCCCGGCTCTTGGGAGGGTTCCCTACCCACTCCCTAGGCAACCATGCCCTGAGCCACTGGGGCCAGAACTCACCGGTGGCCACCTCACGGGTCATGGCGGACGTGAGCCGCAGCACCGGCCGCAGCATGGTCTTGCCGTCGGGCGTGGGCGTGAGCGTCCGGCTGTGTGATTTGAGCAGCAGCCGCTCATCCTGGCGCTGGAGCAGCAGCAGCAGGTCGTCCAGCAGCAGCACATGGACCTCTGCAAGGGCGAGGCCAAGTTCAACACCCCCTACCTGAGCACCTGCCCCGAGGCCCTGGCTCGCAGCCCTGGGGCTCACCAACAGCCTTGTCCTTTGTCACCCTCCACGTCAGTGGGCCCTCGTGGACCAGCTTCTTCTTTGTGATGTCTAGGTTCTGGAGGCAGGAAGGAGTGACTATCGGTGTAGCCCAGGGTGGGGCAGGGGAGGGTGGAAATGACCATGGGGCGGGGCTGGGTATCATAGTCAGGGGTCAGGATGGGCGCTGGGTGGGGATGGGGAGGGGTCAGAGCTGAGGGGCCTCTCTGGCTCCTGGGGAGCATTGTCAGAGAATGCCTGGGCAGCAGGGCTGGGCCAGTGGAGAGGAGGTGAGGGCAGGCAGGGTCACCTTGAACTCGCTCAGCATGGGGTCACTGCTCTGCCTCAGGTGGGACAAGTCCAGGCGCCTCTGATAATCCTTGAGCCGCTGCAGCAGGGAACAGAGTGTCACAAGTACAAACCAAGAGCTGGGGCCATCCCAACAGTGACCCCCAAGTATACAAGCCCAGGGGGAGGCCTGACCTCCAGTAACCCTGAGAGGGAGGAGCTGAGGGCCCAGGTAGCCCCTGGACAGGAGGTAATCCCCTGGGGTCAAGCTGAGGACCTGGCCTGACCTGCAGAGTAGAAACGGCCCTGAGATGGAAAAAGCCTGGCTCACCAGCAGGTCCTCCATGTCCCTCACAGCCTGGTTGACGTGGTGCAGAATCTCCCGGCAGCACTCAGCTGCCAGCTCCACTTTCTCCCGTTCTGCTGGCTCTTCTGTGGGCAAGGGAAGGACCAGCGCTGGTGAACTCCAAGCCTAGACGCTGCTGGTCCCGGCCAGGGTGGGAGATGGGAGCTCTGGGGCCCAACAGAGTGGGCCAGGCCATACCTGTGTTCTGCCCGATGCTCTGCAGGAGCAGAGGGTACTTGGTCAGCCTCTGCATCTCCGTCGGGATCATGTCCTTCAGCTGCAGGCGGCGGCACCGTGGGCGGCTCTCAGCCTCCTAATGGGACAGCAGCACTGAGGTGGCCCATGCTTGGGGCTAGCCTCTGGGTTAGGGACATCAGCCCTTCCTCCCTGGGACTCTGGCACAGAACCCCCAAGCCCTGTCCACCTCACCTGCACGAAGGCGCAGAAACGAGGCTCCTTGCGCTGTTTGGCTTTAAGCTGCTCTAAGGCAAAGGACTGGCGGCTGCAGAAGCGGGAGGAGATTTTCTGGAACCAGGCGCCCTCGGCATCATCAAACTATAGCAAGATTCAGATTCAGGCCAGGGGGTGTCTCAGGTGGGACATGAAAGCCTAGGCAAAAGGACAGGGCTGGGGGCCTAGACCCCTGGCTAGGAGGAGGGGTGGGAGCTGGGCTGGGTGCCCTCACCCGGGCCAGCAGCACATCTCCGATCTCCTCAATGAGGTAGCCGCTCTCCTGCCTCCGCTTCATCAGACGATCAAGGAACAGGGCTGTGCGGGGGGTGGGGGTAAGGATAGGGGGTGCGGTCAGGACCCTCAAGATTGTATGTAGAGCCTGGTTGGGAGCTGGCGGGGTGGGGCTACAGGTGTGTCTGCCTGATCCTTGGGGCTAGTGGGCTGTCCCCCCTGGAATGTGAGCTCTAGGGGTCCAGGGTGGGGTTGTCCCTAGTGCTAGCACAGAGGCTGCCCGTGATGGGTGCTCCAGGAGAACATGCTAGACCCCAAGTCTAGACACCAAGGCCTCAAAGGAGGGAGTCAGTGGTGGGGTGCGCAGTAGGGCCACAGCCCTGCACTCACAATGCACCTCGATGAGCTCGTCCAGGCTGGGGAAGATGTTCTGTAGCTCCTCCAGGGGGAAGAAGCCCCCGTCAGCCATGGGCTGGTAGAAGAGGTCGTGCAGCACCCGCAGCATACGCACATGGGCCGCCTCCGTCACCAGCAGCTCTGCAGGGTGACCAGGAAGAAAGCATGGTTGGGGAGGGTGCCAACAAAGGGGGGCAGTCTTAGAGGCAGGCTGGGGGGAGGGGGTGAAAGGGAGAGGACAGGGACAACTCTCTCTGGGTTGAAGTCATCTGCCTCTGAGACAGCCACTGAGAATTCGTTGACCCGCTGCCTCTCCTTTTCAGCAGCCAGGGCAACCATGTGTCCCAGTCTACCTGGCACAACAGACTTCCCAGGACATGAGGTTTTTAGTGCCCAAATGGGGAAAGTCCTGGGCAAACCAGGACAACTCGGTTGCCCCATGGCCAGCAAGCTTGCAGCTGTGTTCAATGCCTAACTGTCCAGCAAGTGAATGAGCTTCGGTTTCAGGGATGACGACTCCCTCCTCACACAGGGTGGCAGCCTCAGATCCAGGGCCCACAGGGTGCATGCCTGAGCTCCAAGGGCTCCGGAAGTCCCTGGTTTTGTGTGTTATGCCTATTTTTCTGGTGCGAGAACTTGCTATGCTTCCAAGATAACAGCCAGTAGCCACATACAGCTCTTCACATGTTAATTAAAATGAAATGAGCCCCGCAGGGGTGGCTCAGTGGTTGACTGCCAACCCATGAACCAGGAGGTCACAGTTCAATTCCGGGTCAGGGCACATGACTGGGTTGCAGGTTCGATCCCCAGGAGGGGGCGTGCAGGAGGCAGCTCATCAATGACTCATCATTGATGTTTCTCTCTTCCCCTCTCCCTTCCTCTCTCTGAAATAAAAACATATAAGAAAAATGAAATGAAACACAAAATTCGGTTCTCAGGGCCCTGGCCAGGTAGTTCAGTTGGTCAGAGCATTGTCCCTATGTGCCACAGTAGCGGGTTCCATCCCCAGCCAGGGCACAGACAAGAAGCAACCAATGACGCGTGAATAAGTGGAACACCAATTCCATGTTTCTCTTTCCCTTCTTCTCTCTAAAATCAGTAAATAATAAAAAAGTAAAGCTTAAAAAAAATTCAGTTCTCAGGTGTACTCGCCATAGCTCAAGTACTCAACAGCCATTATGTGGCTGCTGGTTACTGAGTTGGACAGCGCAAACATCGACATTTCCATCATTCGGCAAAGTTCTGAGAGCACTGCTTATGTTTTGATCGTATCCTTAGAAGGGTCTGTGACCTAAAAAGCACTCATGTACTGCTCTCAAAATTCTGAATGAGGACCTTCTTCAAGTGGACTTCAAACCAGCTTCCAAAAGCATCTACTTTTGCCAAACCCCCTTAACACACACACACAATTCAAAACCATGAAAAAGAATTAAGACGAAAATGATACTCCCATCACCTCTGCCCAGAAGCAAGCGCTGCTAATACACCGACTGGCTTCCCAGGCTGCTCCCCAGGGGGTCCCCCAGTGGTTAAGGTCGCAGGAACAGCCCGGGCGCTCGACTGCTCGCTCTGTGCCCAACACTGTGCGAGGCGCGTCTGTGACCCGTCTCACCCTCGGGACAGCCCTTTGACACAGAAACCATTGCTGCCCGTGTTTCACAAACAGGGAAACAAAGGCTGATGCCAGATACAAGTTCACGTACATTCCGTGCTCTTAACATCAGCACCGTCTCGCACTGTTAGAAAGTCGTCGGGAACACCGCCCTGCCAGCAGCACTCCTGGTCCGCGGAGTGGCTGTCCTACAGTTTATGTACCAAATGGCCCTCAGCCTACTCGCTCTGCCTGTTACAGCGGGATGGACATGTCCCTGCCTCTGGCTCCATCTCTGCCAGAGCTGGGTTGTGTCCTTGGTCACAGTGGGCTGGAGAGGATGGCACTCACCGCTAATGACCTCCTGCCGCTTCACCTGGCTCTTGGGCAGGCTGTGCAGGGTGTCTGGGGGGATGAGCTCCCGCCAGCCGGGGGGCTCTTCTGGTTCCAGCTCTAGTCCCGACCGTCCCGGCTCCCCCTCATCTCCAGGCTCGGGGCTGTGGGACAAAGGCCTGGTTAAGGGCCTGGCTTAGGGTGTCCCAGAGAGGAGACTTTGACTTCTAGTGTCCAATCCCCCTCTGTGGCTTCAGCATCCATGACCCCAGGAGGCCCATGCTGTAGACCAGCCCCCAGATTTCTCGAAAGAACCGTCCTACCCCTCTCCTGCGACCACTGTAGGCCTTCAGTGACCTCAGCATCCAATACCCAGTTCTCTGTGACTCTGTCAATGTCCCCTCCCCTCTCCCCCATCCTCCCTGACTCTCCAGGCTGAATCAGTGGTTGGGGGGGTTGGAGTGACGTACGTGGCTCGTCGGGCAGGGCCAAGCACGGCCGTGGCAGAGCTGGGGTCCATGTCCACGTCGCTCCGGGAGCGGCCCCCACCCCGGCCCTTAGCCCCGAGGCTGCCCCGGGAAGGCCGGCGGCGGTCACTCACCCGCAGGCTCTCTGAGCGCCCCAGACGCCCCGATAGCCTGGACCCCGAGGCCAAGGATACAGTCAGGCAGAGGCCAGGACAAGGGCAGAAGAGATGGGGAGAGACCAGGACAGGGACAGACCACGACAGGGATAGGGACAGACCAGGACAGGGACAGACCACGACAGGGATAGGGACAGACCAGGACAGGGACAGGGACAGAGAGAGACCAGGACAGGGGCAGAGACAGACCAGGACAGGGACAGGGACAGACCAGGACAGGGACAGACCAGGACAGGGACAGGGAGAGACCAGGACAGAAGTCAAACATGCAACAGAATAGAGAAGAGTCAGAAGGAGCAGTGGGATCTAGGGGTGCTGGGGCAGTAGGGGGTGGTCAGGAAGGATACTGAAATTTGGTGGGGGCAGGGAGGGGAACCCAGTGTGGAGCACAGGACTGACCCCTCCCTTCCCTGAGGTGGGGATGGTGGCAGAGCCAGGAGTCAGGAGTGGGAGAAAGGGGATTTTAATACTTAGCTCTTTGGCTGGGAGGGTGATGTCCCCACCCACCCCTCTCAGGGGTGAAGGGGAGTGGGGAGAAGGGAGGGGCTGGGAGAAATGGGGGAGGGGTTAGCCCTCCCCCAAACCCAGGGCCCAGGCACCCACCTCTTCCACCTTCTGGGGAGAGAGGGGCATAGGGTCAGAGGTGGACCAGATGGAACCCAACTCACCTCCCCCACCCACCAAAGGGTCCCCAAAGCAGCGGCACAAGGACAGGCAGGGGGCAGAGCCTGCCCCCCTAACTATGAGGGGGACAGGGCCCCCAGGCATGGAGCACAGAGGACTGGGGGGCTGAGGGAAGGGGCACCAGAAGGCAGGAGCAAGGCAGCTGGGCTGAGGCTTAGAAGAGAGAGGGATGGAAGCGGAGGGGTGCAGGGAGCAGGGTCAGGAGTTGAGGGGTGAAGGGCATGGGAAGCAGGGAAAGGGAGAGGGAGAGGGAGAGGGAGAGGGAGAGGGAGAGGGAAAGAGACGGATGGAAGAAAAGAACGGGAGCGGAGGAGAAATAACTGTGAAAAAGAAGAAAAGGGAAAGGAGGAAAAGGAACCAGAGAAAAAGGGGAAGGAGGAAAGAGGGAGCAGGGCAGAGGGGCGATGGCTTGGGAACAGCAGATGCACATGGCAGCAAGACCCCAACACACACCCTCCCAGCCCTGACTCCTGTGCTCAGCGCCCCTGACCCCTGCCTGGGTACCTCTCTGTCTCAGGACCCTCCTCAGTGCTCTCCAGGGGCGCTGGGGGCTCCAGGCTGGCCGGGCCCTGCAGGGGCAGGTCCCCCAGCTCCGGTGAGGCATCAACACCTGTGGGAGCAGCAGGGAGAGTGGGGCTGGCTGGGAGGCCCCTTTGGCACAGGGACGCCACCCATGGGGTTCTTCCACCAGGGAATGCCAGTGCCTGCGGACACCAAGTGGCTCTTCTGTATACTCATGGGGGACAGACAAATGGAAAGACCTCTGAGAACACAGCCATGGGCAGCTGGGGCGCACAGCACTGGTGGGGAGGCCGGATGCGCGGCTCGGTGCCTCCACATCCATCTGTGCTGACCCTTAGCCAGGACTTTCAGGAAGGGGATACACCCCATTCACAGATGAGGAGACTGAGGCTCTGAGAGGGAAGTGACTGCCTACATGTAAAAAAAGGAAGCTGCAGAACCTGGGCCTGGCCAAGGAGCTGAGGTCCCAGGGGCTGAGGGCCACACGACGATTATAAGAAATGAAGTTAACGTGGCTGGTGTGCTCACCACCTAAGTGGGCTGACTGGCAATGCACTCAGAGAGGGTTCTGGGAAATGAACCCGTGGGGTGATGGGAAATGTAGTCCAAGGGGGTGGGAAACACATCACCAGGACAGAGATCAGAGGCTGGGAGGAAAGCCGTGGAAAGGGTAAACTGAGGAAAGGGGTGGTTTTATGAATAACACTGGTGACCAGGAGCAGGGAGGGACATGCAGGGAGAACCAAGGGGTGGTCTCGCCATGGGGACCAGGAAACGCTCACCTGGTTCCCGGTCAGGGCTGTCTCCGGACAGAGGCTGCAGTGAAACTCCAGGGGAGTCCTGCCCAGGGGTCCCAACATTCCGGGAGGGCACCCCCAGGCCTCCCTTCCGTTCTATGAGGCCTGGCTTCTCCACTGGGAAGACATTGAGGGAGAAAGTGGGAAATGAGAGTCTAGTAACTCGAATCCACAGGCCCTGGGGGATCCGAGATGCTGTGCTCTAGCCCTGATTTCTCCATCACCCAGGATACGCCTCCTCCTCCCTCAGACCCAGGAGCCCAGGCCCCAGTCCCCTCCTCCCTCAGACCCAGGAGACCCCTTCCTCCCCTCTTAAGTTCCCAAAATAGATGCTCTGGCTTCAGGACCATTACCATCAGCCTCTGCTTTGAGATGTCGAAAATCTGGGGCTGAAACGAGATGGGACCAATAGGATCGTGAGGTGTCTGGGGGGGGGCAGTAGAGAGAAGTCCGGGGGGGGCAAGGCCAGGAACCTCACCCTGGGGCTCTCCCCGGTTCCATCGGGCGGCATCCAGGAAGCTGCTCAGTCCTTTCTTGGTCTTGGTTGGCTCATCTGATCGCCGGTTCCCCATTACCTGTGAGAGGCGGGGGGAGGCCACAGGGGGCTGGTATTTCTGAGCCACCAACACAGAGAAACTGGACCCAGGGACACAGAGTCATGCGGCTCCCCATGGGGTTTCTGGGGTGGAAAGGTCTGGGTTTGAGCACTCAGGGAAGCACCTTTTTTCGGAAGAAATTCCTCCCCGACTTCTTGTCCCCACTCTTGGTCCGCACCCCGAGGTGGCGCATGTACAGGCTGATGGCACTGACCACAGCGGCACTGTGGAGAGGGGACGGTAAGGACCCCACACACAGACATGCACACTGCTCCCCCACAGTCTTCCCCTCCACATTCACCTCCCACCCCAACCCCACAACCACTTCCTGCTGTGTATCTCAGGAAAGAGGAGAGGGCTCCAGGGGACAGGACCAGAGACACTACTGAACGCAGGACCCCACACCCCCAGCGCCTCCTCCCTGGGGCCCAGGAGACTAAAAGGCCTGTCTTGCTGTCCTCTTTGGTTCCATCACCTCTTTTCTTCATCAGTAGAGATGGTATGTCTGTAAGAAGAAGAAAGACAAACTGGCTAAGCCTGGGGTCCCTGTCCACCCAGCACAAATGTCCAGTTCCTGTCCCTTTGAAGCTGGGACAGGACAGAGGAGAGGCAGAGAGGGCACTGCCGAAGCAACTGGGAAGGAAGATCATGGGAGAGAGGAGATGATCTCATCCGGGTGCAAACAGGAATGACATGCCTGAATGCAGTCCTTGGACAGATCTAGAAACTGGGAGACCCCAAACCTGGGAAGAGAAGACGAAAAAAAACCCAGACAAACTAAAATGCCAGGGCTGCCTGGCCGGCGTGGCTCAGTGCTTGATCACTGACCTAGGATCCAGGAGATCTCAGTTTGATTCCCCAACAGGGCACATGCCCAGGTTACAGGCTCGATCCCCAGTAGGGGGCGTGCAGGAGGCAGCCGATCAATGACTCATCATTGATGTTTTTCTCTCTCTCCCTCTCCCTTCCTCTCTCTGAAATCAATGGAGACATTTAAAAATAAATAAAATAAATAAAATAAAGTCAAGGGAAGTAGCTAAAGAATGAATGTGAAGCCACAGATGGGAGCCTGGAATACAGGGGGTGGCTGGGGAGGGGCTGGTCCACTCACTGCATCTCCTCCAAGTGGGCCAGCAGCCGCTCTGCCACGTGCCGCTCCCGGGCCTCGAAGCTGGCGCGGTCCCGCCCCACCCAGGCCTCCAGCTGGGCCAGCTCCTGCTCCCAGGGTGTCATGCCCATGAGCCGCTTGGAGCGGAAGTCCTCCAACTGCCGGCTGACAGCTGCCTGCTGGCTCTGCACCACCTCCTGCACGAACTGCCGCTGGACATCCTCGGAGATGAGGTCAGGCCTCGTGCGGTCTGCAGGGATAGGGGTGCGGGCTGGGGGACAGTTTCCTGGGCCCTGGTTCCTCACCCACCCTCGGACTCTAACAGTCATGCTTCCTTCTGGGCTGCTGCGGCCAGAAGGGAGAAAGGAATCCCCACTGACCAAGGAGCGCGGGTACATGGCCTCCCACCCTGGGCCTCCTGGGAGGCCTGGCCCCTGCTAGAGACCTCCCTCATCCCAAAGTCTCCTCTCTCCTTACCAAGTTCAAAGGCGACTGTGGAAGGGACAGAGACTCGCAGAACCTGCTCAGGAGAGAGAATGGAGTGAAGGGCAGGACTCAGCAGTGATGGATGACAGCCTAGGTGCCCCTGGGAATGGTGGTCTGAAGGGAGGAGCGGTGGGAGGAAGATCAGGCTCGCACAGGGGCTCCCTAGGCCAGGCCGCCCTTCATGCTGCCCTCAGCAGGGTGGGGTTGGGAGGCACAGGTGGCTCTCCAGGGCCAAAGGCAGAGGGACTGGGTGGGGGAAGGTGCCTCTCACCGCGGTTTTCTCCAGGAAGCTGTGGTAGAAGTCGAGGAAGGCCTTCTTGGCCTCCTTGGGGCCCAGAGAGCCCAGCATGTCCGCATGTAGGCAGCAGAGCTGGGGAGACAGAGAGTGACCTGTCCTCCCTCCCAGCCACCCAAACCACACATCCCCCTGGAAAGCCTCTCGGGGCAAATCCTCTCTCTAGGAAGCGTGCTCCCTGATCTACACCATCCCCACACCCAGGCCCTGCCTCTCTCAAGGCCTCCGGGGGCCACCACGAGCGGCTGGTAATTTTTTATCCTGTGGAATGGTTCTCTGTGGCCCTGTTTCCCTCCTGCTGCCACTACCACCAGCTACACAGGCATATACCAGACGCCTTCTAACCCCTTTATACACATGACCCTGTTAGCTCATAGGGACGCCGTTATCCCATTCCACAGATGAGAAAACTGAGCTCAAGAAGTCTACTCAGTCACACAGCTAGTAAGTGGCAAAGCTGGGATGGGAATCCAGGCAGCCTATCTTCACTACGCTCCGTTGCCTAGAAATACAGCCAGCAACTTGAGTGTTGGGGTGGGGTGGAGGTTCTGATTCATCTGCGTCTCAGACAGGGCCCAGGGCCCAGTGCATGGTAGGTAGATAAGTAGGTGAGCAAGTGGGGCTCACTTATTCATTCGTGAAGCATTTCCTGGGACTGCCTACGTGCCAGGCCTGTGCTGGGTTACGCTGGCAGTGCAGGGGGGAACCCAACCTGTCCAGACTCCCGGGGGGCTCTCGTCAGGTAAGGGACATAGTCTCGGTCTCAGTGTGCTAAGGACTCAGCCCAGTGGGGGTGGGACTCTGTAAACACTTTCCACAAATATGTGTCAGCCCCCCACCCCCACCCCAAAGCAAAAACTCCATGGAAGGTCCTTGGGAAGCAGCCCAGGGGACCACAACTACCCTCCACTGCTCCCCCACCTGCCGAGGTGAGGGAGCAGCATAAGGACAGATTTCAAAATGCTGGAGGCCATCTGGGTCCTCAGCCAAGCCCTGGCCCTTTTAGGCCTCAGGTTCTACATCCCTGGAAGGACATAACAGTCAGCACCATCCCTGGGCTGCGTCCCAGGTACTCGGGTTCTAGAAAAACCCCAGGCTCAGGAGGGCCAGAACCTCCATGCACCACAGGAAGGTCTGCCACACTTCTGGAGAGAAGGCAGTTTCCTACTTTCCTGCCAGTTTCTGAAGCTTCAGCATCAGTCTACGTGCCCTTCTCTGCATGCCCTGGGCGTCCTTCCCTGGCATTTCTGCCAGCCTCTTTGTCTTCTGGAAGGATCTGCTGTGCATTTCTAGCACAACCCAGTGCCCTGGGCTAACCCTGCTCTCAGCCTGTGCTGGGACCCTTCCCCACAGAGCTTCTTCCTTCCTACATCACCCACTGGGTCCTCTAGACTCCCAGGTGTTTTGCACAGCATGGCTCTGCACCTGCAGCTCCCGGGTGCTTTCTGTCTGATACAGGTTTCTGGATCATCGATTACGGTCCCTCTGTCTTGAGGGCTGCTTATGGCGGTTGCTTGTTTCTGAGTCAGGGCCTGGTGCAACACCTAGACTAGATGGGAGGGGGCTAATGGTTTCTCCCAAGCACCAGCCCTTAGTGACTCACTGGTGGCACCTGCCAAGGCCACGGAGAGGGTTTGATTTCCAGAGTCCACGGGAAAGTCTGTATTGATGGGTGACGCTGCCATAGGCGCAGGAGGGGATGGGGGGCATGGTTTCTCCCAGGCTTCTGGAATCTGTTGCTCTCTGCATGGCCCTGCTGTGTGTGTGCTCTCCCGGCCTGCACTCACAGATTCATATGGACACCTGCAATCTTGTCTGGATCACATGGTGGTCCCTCTGGCTCTCTAGTTCCAGATCTGCCTTCTGGATCTGTTTTCTAGACCCTCCTGGCTCATCTTCACTGGCCTAACACACTGACCACCATGGCCTGGCCCCACCCTACCCTCCTTGTGCCTACCCAGCCCCACCCTACCAGGGGTCCTGGCTCGAACTGCAAGGCCACGTGCTGCAGGAGGGCCATCAGGTGGGCTGGGCGCCGCTTCACCTGCTCCAGGCTCTGGAACTGGCTGTTTTGCTCCTCTGTGTTCTGGGGGTGGGCGTGGGGGTGGGGGTGAGACTGTGGGGAGCAGAGAGGGGCCTTGGGCTTGACCCGCCCCCTCCCCTGGTACTTCCTGATGGATCCAAGCTGGGAGGATGGGGGTGATGATGGTGTCTATGCTGTAATGGAGGCAGCAAGGCAGGTATCAGGGAGAACAGAGATTTAACGTTATAATGAGAGGTGACGACAGAAATTCGGAGATGGAATGGGGATCTATGCTATAACTGGAGGGTGGTGATAAAAATCGGGGTTAGAGTAAAAAGGGTGGGATCAAGAATGGGGTGGGGGATGAGGTAGGAGGCACCCGAAGATGAGAGAGAGAAGGGCATTGAGAGGACACAGTGAGACAGCATCTGAGGATGGGACTTGAGGGGGGGCCCCAGGGAGCTGGGGACAGCAGCTTTTCCACGCCACCTCCCCCTCACCGTCTCCAGTTCGTTCTCGAAATCCTCGTCTTCAGCCCCAATGATGCTGACGGGCACCAGGCCAGGCCGGGGGGGCCCTGGGGCCTGTGGAAGAGGGTTGGCTTCAGCCCACAGTGCTCCCCACCTCACAGCCCCCCCAGTCCTCACCCTTTGGCTGTCTCCACTCACCGCCCCTCGGCCCACGACGCTGTCTGCCTCCATGGGCTCCGGGGGCTGCGGGAAGAGGAGGGGCGGTGGTTAGGGAATGGGAGGAGGCACAGGGCAGTTACTCACAGATTCCTGGCCCAGGTGTGAAGGTGAGTAAACAGCCTTCCCCCATCTGGGCCCCACAGCTCAATGGGGCCTCTGTGTGGCGACAAAGAGCCCTTCAGAGGCCAGCAGGGCGGGGAGCCCAAGGACAAGGAGACATGTTGGGGGGGAAGCTGGAGTCCCAGGAGTCTGGGTCCATGAGAGAGCTGTGGCAATGACAGCCTGCAATTTTAGGGTCCCTAATGCAGGAAGGGGCTGCTTCTCACACTCTGGGATCCCAGGGAGGAGGGGCTGGGGGCCTGGACTCCTGGGTCTGAGGGAGGAGGGGCTGGGGGCTGGGCCCTGGGGAGGCAGGGCCTGCAGAGTTGGGAAGGCTACAGGGGAGGTAAGAGGGATATAACTGGGGTGTGTGGGGGCTCTCCTCCGATCTGTGACAGGCATGGGGCAGGATGCTGCCTCTGAACCTACCAGCCCCACTTCCTGTGACAGGAAGTCACAATGGCAAATCCCCCAACCCCCAACTCTCTCCACATAAGAAAACAAAACTCTGAACCCTCCGCCCTCAGAGACCAAGAGTCCCCTGACCCACAAGTTCTTTCTCTCAGCAATCTGATATCTTTCTGGCTTCCAGTCCCACAAAAACAAAGTACAGTCCTCAGACAGCTCATCTCCAAGGTGTGTCTGTCTCCCTCACCTATGTCCCCGTCCTGCCGGCTCCCTGGCTGTCCCTCCCTTGAATCTTGAATCTACCTTGTCTTTGCCTCTCTTCTCCCTGTTTCCTCATTTTCGCTCTCCCTTCCTTCAGACCTGTCTCATTTTTCCCACTGTCTACCTCCCCTCCTCCTGCTTTCGCCCTCAGCTCTACCCCATCCCTGCTCCGTTGCTCCCTGCCTTTCCCCTCTGTCTTTCCTGCCTCTGCTTCTGTCTCCCCACATTGGTTTCTGCAGCCTCTCTTCCTGCACCTCTCTGAGTCGCTGTCTCATATCTCTTTTTCCCATGTCATCTCCCTTAGAGTTTCCACTTCTCCCTGTGTCTTCCCACTGACATCTTCTGTGTCCTTAATTAGTCTGACTAATGACACACTAGCCCATGTCAGGCGGGAAGAGCTGTGGAAACAGGAGTGGGGTGGACCAGTGTGGGGGAACTCTCCCCACAGCCCAGAGCTATTTATAACCCTAGCTGCCCAGACCCCCCCTTCTTCCTCTTCCACAGGCCTCCTCCCTAACACTCAATAAATAGTGGCTATGACTTTGATTATGATCATTAAACAATGATGCTTTCTGGAGTGTCCAAATGCCATCCCCTGGGTTCACCCGAGCAGGCATCATTTTTATTCTTTTCCATAAAGGGTATCTGTCCAACATCCAAGCTCGGGTAATGCAAGATTTGAGCATTAGTTAAATGTTCACATAAATAAAACTGCAAAGCAAGGCAGAAAAATAATAGTAACTATTTATTACGGGAGCTAAACTTCCACAGCACTTACAGGGGGCCAGGCATTGCTCCAAGTGCTTCTCACACAGCAAAGCGACGCTCACAACCACAAGCACCCCACGCTACTGCCATTCCCACCGGAGATGGAAAACCTGCACTGGGCTGCCAGATGCACTTCTGGGCTGGGAAACATGACCACGAACATGGCGAGTCCATGCTCATCCCACTTAGGAGTGGACAGGTTCAACAGAAGCAGGGAGATCCCAAAAGAGCAAAGAAGACACAGGTTCTCTGAGCGAATGCCCCAAAATCATGCACTTGGCATGCATCAGCTCCTTATTCCTAGTTGCAATAATATGAAATAATAATGCTTAACATGCCCTGAGTGTCATTAAGTATGTGCCAGGCACAGCATGACTGCTCTATAGTATTAACCAATATAATCCTCTAAGTGACTCCATGAGGCCATCATCATCATTATTACCCCCATTTTACAGCGGAGGAAACTTTTACACAAGGGACAGAACCGGCATTCAGACCCAGGCAGTCTGGCTTCAGAGTTTATGCAGTTAACTACCAGAATGTGCTGCCTCAGAGCATGGGGAACCTCGACCTTAGGCAACTAAAATCTGAACCAAAGCTGAGACACATCAGGTCTCCTTACGGGGCATGGGAAAGTCAGGGCTATGTGGGCACTGCGGCCTGGGCAGGAATGCAGGCTGGACTCTGCTGGCCACAGAGGGGTGGGGCTGAGGGAGGATGGGGGTAGGGAGACTGGCTGCTTAGAAGATGGGGGCAATGAGGCTCTGCCACAAGGGTTGAAGCTGTCAGATGGATCTGTAGGCAACTGAGGAGGCCTGAGGTCCAGCGGGGCGGGGATGGGATGGGGGTGCTATGTGCATAGGGCTGAAGGGGGTCAGGGCAGGTTTAGGGGTGGGGATCCTAAAGCAAAGCAGGCACATGAGGGGCAGCATGGGCACCTGGGTTCTATGCAGGACTCGGGGTCTATAAGATATTGAATGGATGATCCTGGTCTCTAAGAACCTCTGGGAGCCTTATAGAACCTAAAATAGAGTAGTCAAGGTGATTCCATAATGGGACCAGGATCCACTTGACACATGGTGGGCCTACAGGGATCTGAGAGTCACACATGATCATGAAATCACAGAGAAAGTAGCCAGTCTATGGGATCTCTGGAGACTTAAAAGGGGACTAGAATTCTATTGGGGCCTGTGGTGGTCCCCAGACTCAGGATCTACAGGGTCCTGGATTCTAGGGGATGCTACTGATCGATGGGGGACCGCACGTCTGTAAGCAGCCAGGTCTCCAAAGACAGCTAGCAGAAACCTGGGTAGTCTGTAGGACCTTGTATCTACATGGAACGTGGCGGGTCTTCACGGGCCCCAAATCCTACAGGGAGCGTGGCGGGGTGCATTGCCAGGGATGCTGGGGCGGACGTGCGGAGTCAGGGTCTGACGCCCGCCGGGGGCCGCGTCCCTCACCTGCTGGAGGTCGGAGAAGCCACCGCAGCTGCCAGGACCGAAGCCTCCGCCCGCGCGCCGGCTCTGGCGCCCCCAGTACCCCCCCTTCCAAGCCGCTCTAGCCGCCCTAGAGGCCACCTTAGGTTCTAACTCCACTCCTCCCGCCAGCCGCTCTAGCCCGGCTCCTGCCAGGTGACTCTATTCCTCCTGCTGGCCGCTCTAGCTTTCCACTGCGCCACGCTGGCCACATGGGGCCGCTCTGGCCTGCCTTGGAGGGCTGCCGTTTCCGTATCTCGACTGCTCCCGTCACTCCCCCGGGTTC